TCAGAGCTTTAAGGGTTAATGAAGGTCTTTGTGAGCCCTGAAAATCTTGTGATATGGCCATAATGCAAACATGAGATCCAGAGCTACTCAGTCCCTGCAGTAACCAACATCGACAAATATCCTATTCTTCGCTGGAAAGTAGTGTCAGCTGTGAAATCCCTGAAAAAGGAAAAATTAGCCAGAGTTGACAACATTCTATTTGCTGGAGGAAATACCATGATAAATGCACTTTTTAATATTGCAACAAGCTTTGGCAGTCATGAGAAGTGCCTAAGCTTTCGACCCAATCACGCATCATCACCCTGCCAAAGAAAGGCAACTTGCAACTCTGCCAAAACTACCCCACCATTAGCCTCATAAGCCATCCCAGCAAAGTCCTGCTAAAAATTATACCAAACTTAAGCAGAAAGCTGACGTGGCACCCTTGTTAACCGTAGACAGAGAAACAGATGACCTTTACATCATCTGTCCTATAGACCACAAGGTCTAAAAGGGAAACTTTACTTTTACTGTTAGGTCATTTATGAGCCCTTGAGTGCATCAGAGTTATTTTCCCTGAGACTTCTATGTACATACTAGTTCTCAGTGTACACTACTGTAGGAAGTCTCTGATCCAGGTATAATTCTCTCCCCATATAACATATCATGCATATATATAGTAATTTAACTACTAGAGCTAAGCTCAATACTTAGTTTTGAGCTGCTTAAACTAGATCTAGTAAATTCAAATTATTGTATTTTATTATTATAGTAAATGCTGCTACTAGATTCTAAAAAACACTAAACAGATCTAGTCTATATCTAATAGTTTAACACTATAAACTACAATACGGCATGTTACATATTCTATCAATCCTCTTCTTAAAGTTTTAATTTATATTTTATTTTATATTAATATAGGTTACTTTGGACATTTGTTTATTCCAATAAAGAGGACTTGTATATTATATATTTTTGACTGATGCGCCTATCCGGATAAACAAGAATTTGATCATATTGATACACCATGGCTATGCCTTTGCCTGGATATGGTTTGATAGGTCCACCTTTTTTTTATACATCCTCTCCTCCTCCGTCCCTATTGAATCAACATTTGCTACCAAAGTCTGATGCAAACACAGAATCTGCCATTTTGGTGCAAATTTTAAACAAAAAGGAAAGTGGTGAGATGAGCCTGAAAGAACTGTTCACTCATTTTACTCAAAGGGAAGAAATCAAGCAATTAATCTGGAAATTATTAATTGAAGGAGAGAAAAACTTTCAAATTGACGGCTGTGCCTCACCAGCAAGCTGCCCTCCTTACACTGGGAATGAAACCATAAAAGTATTAACTAAACTTACGTTGTGTGAATACCACTGTAAGCAAGGGAAGAACGGGAGCAACAGAAAGTGTAGCGGAAAATGTGGTGCACTGCATCTTTGCCGCAATTTTCTCCTCAAGTCGAGTAACGAGTGCCGTTTCAGCAAGAAACAAAATTGTATGTTTGGCCATGATTTCCAAGCTCCACACAACAGTATTCTTTTGAGAGAACATAATCTTCATAGGCTCAATGAGGTAGAGTTACGACAGCTGTTTCGACGTCCTCTCAGTAGATGTAAGATAACCACACCTCAAGTTTGTTGGTTTTACAATAACGAAAAGAAAAAATGTACTAACAAACGCTGCACATTACTACATATATGTACGCAATACATTCTCGGCGTGAACCATTATAACTGCAACAAGATGCACTCTTTTGGTGATGAAACCATTAAAAAAGTTCTTGATCTTTATGAAATAAATAGTTCTTGGAAAGAAGAGCAAGTCTGTGAACTCGTACGAAACATTCACAGATTAGGTAATTTTTTGTTGTTGTTGTTTTGTTTCTGTGTCTCTGTTTACATTCTTATAAAAAATTTAAGAAATTTTATACCTAAAACATTTTGTATTTTAAAAGTATAAGCTATTTTTGTTTGCTGATTGTAAATAGCGAGCAAGGGACGATTATCTTACATTTACTAAAAGCTTAGCAGCAAACATTCTAAATGTGTATTTGCTTACATTTTTACAAAGCCTTTATCAACTCACTCTGAATGTCATTCTGTCTGGTAAAGTTATTTCTCCACACCCTATTTCAGATCAAGAGAAAATTTTGCAAAAAGTATCTCTTGTACCCAAAAAGCAAGAATCAGTAAAAAAAAATAAATCCATAAGTTAATTAGCTATAGATAATTATTTTATTTGGCATTAAACAAAGATAGATATTGTACTTGACAAATGTAGTGGTATGACTTGAATTAGTCCCCTTTATAGGTTGTGTAAAGAATTAAAAGTTTAAAACTAACATAGCTAAAAATAAACTCTTATTTTCAGCACTTTGCTGGCAAAGTGTTTAGTGCATCGACTTGAGACCAAGTTGTTAACCTTTTTTTTTTTTTAAATAAAATGCATTTAAAAAGTGCTTTTGGTAACATTCACCAAGATAGCCCTATTTTCTTCGTGCCCCTTTTCCAACTGGTCCAGACAATTGATAGGATTAAAGAGCATAGAAGATGCTAAAAACATGAACTTGCGCTGAACAAAAACAGTTGGTAAAAATATTTCTAATCACACAGATTTATTAGTGTTAGTCTAAATCTATAACAAATTAGTTACATGACTGATCCAAACTCGTTACTTAATATAAACTTTGTTTTTTGTTTTTTTTTTAAAGTATTTGTTATATTTTTCTTGTTACAGAACACACTTCTGAGCATCTTGATCCTACCAATGAGAGTAGTGATGATGAAAGCTGCCAGTCTCAAAAGTCAAGTTATAGTATCAACTCTGACATCATTAGTCAACTTAATCTTCATTCAGGTAGTAGTGTAAGATAACAAGTTCTTTTGTTTATTTATTTTTTGTATATTTAATCCCTCCATTTTAATAAATATCATTTGTACCTAATTACATGTTTTGGATGGAGGCACGGTGGCTGAGCGGTAAAGTGTTTGGCTTTTAAACCGGTTGTTCCGAGTTTGAATCCTAGTGAAGACTGGGATTTTTTTTATTTTGGTATCTTAGGGCGCCTCTGAGTCCACCCAGCTCTAATGGGTACCTGACATTAGTTAGGGAAAATAAAGGCGGTTGGTCATTGTGTTGGCCACATGACATACTCATTAACCGTGGACCAACGAAACAGATGACCTTCACATCATCTTCCCTATTGATCACAAGGTCTGCAAGGGGAATTTTACTTTAACTAATTGACTGATTGGTTCATTTTTTTTATATAAGGTGTGTAAAAACATTTTACCAGACAGACAGATATTATTGGATATTAGATTATATGAATCTCGTAGCTGTTATAAATTTAGTATTTTATAGACTAGAGAAAGGTTGCAGTGTCATTGCATTATTTTCTGACCATACAGCATTAAATTTTATGTTTCAATGTGACAAACATTTAGTTAACATATTTAATAGTAATTAGTGCTAAGATAAGGCCTAGTGGCTAAGTGGTAAAGTGCTTGGTTTCTGAACTGGAGATTCTGGGGTTCAAATCTGTGAGGACTGGGATTTTGAATTTACAGATTTTTAGGACGTGAGTGCCTGACATTAGTTGAGAAACGTGAAGGTGGTTGGTTGTTATGCTGGCAACATGCTTTATTATTATTATGAGAAGAAAAATTCTGAATCCAAACATTGGAAAGGCTTTGAGAATCAACCCTTTTAGAAAATGAGCTGGTGTATCTTGGGCAGCAGCTTGTAGCACTCAGGGCTACATCCTGGCAAAACTTGCAACTCTGCTGATCTAAACTTTATCTGGTATTTGCTGTTTTTTAGGACAATTTTGTTGTATGGAAAGGAGGAGGGGGAATAGCTGTATACCAACATTGTTCTAGCCATAGCTGATGTCTAGGATTTCATCTCATTTCTTTTAAGATAAAGTCATTCTTTGGCTGAAGGAAGCCAACCTATTGTTATTATATTATTGTTTCTCTTTATAAACAACATATAAAAGCAGCAGTTAATAAAATATAATTCTTATTTCCTTTCAGGATCTGATTCACAGCAAACTGGCTGTGGAGAATGTAAAAAATTATCCCAAAGTTTGGACACATTAAAGGTTGAGGTGGCCACGGAAATAAGTTTACTTCATCAAGAAATCAAGGAGCTAAAAACAGAAGTTGAAAGATTAAAAGTAAGTTGCTGTGCAGAAGTGTATTTACTTCAATTTAGTACTTTATGTAAGAGTAACAATAAATTAGTACATACTTTAGTGTTACTAATTCTTTCAGTGAGTTGAATAAGTAATTTTCAAGAATCAAAGGAAGAGTTCTAACAAGATGACAAAATATAGTTAGGTGTAGATTAGATTTTCTTTCATTTTATTTTTCACTGTTCTGTATTTTGTTTTAAGCTCTCTATATTCAGAGTTAGATTGGCATGTACCTCAGGAGAATACAGTAGGCCAGTGCATTAAATAGTCCCTTTAAAGTCCTATTCTGTCAACACAGTTTTGACATTTTAATGATACTGAAATATTGCAAAATAATGTATTCCACCGTAAGAAATTGATTTTAAAATAAATTATGTACAAGTGGCAAGAGTATTTTGTTTCAATTTAAACAGTTTTTTATATTCAGAATCCTTAAATATGAAAAAAGTTGTATTACAAATTTCATTATATGCCATGTATAATTGGTTGGATTAATGGTTTCATATTACTAGTCCTTTCAACAGCATTATAGTATAATTTAAGTATGCATGTACCCTGCCATTATGTTTGATTTAATCTGTCCTTTTCATCAATATTTTTTTTTCTAGACATTGATGGAAGCACCTGCAGCCTCATCTAGAACAGTCAGGCTATGTCCTATCACAGGCTTACCAGTTACTGAGTGATCGTAATTGCCGAGGATTCAGAAATCGTCAGTTGATAAGATGATCATCTTGAAAGTAATATTGACATCTTTGTGTAGATTTTTACAATAGCGCTTTATAGTACTTAAAACAATATGATCACTTTGCACACTTAGTGATTTAGTTGTAATCCAAATAAAGCGGATAAAATGTATAGCCTAATGAGTCCAACACTTTTGGATGTAATTAATACAATAGAACAGCATTTGTTGATGTGGCCAGGGTCTTACCTGTTGGAATACAGAAACTGTGATGCTACTTGATCATGACAAAAACATTTTTAAGAGCTATGCAAGGAAGTGGAAGGTTTTTTTAAATCTCTTTAAAAAATTGACATGTTGATGAAAAGCGATTGAAAACTTCTGTAACATTAAAGTTCTATCCAGTGTACCAGAACAGCTTTGAATGGTACAGATTTGATCCATATAACTCTCAAGACAGGCTGAAAATTGAAACTTTCCAGGCACTGCTCTAGTTTTCTGATTTTAAATGTAAAAAAAAAAACAACACTTAAAGTTTTATTCTTTATGGGGGACTCTTGCCCTCAAAGTTTGCATCATACAGCTAAGAAAACATTCTTCTAAATCTCCATCTTTGCTTGTCCCTTACAAAGCCATGTGATGAATGAGTGATGTTGTAAAACACTTGTTTTATGCATCAGTATTTATTTTAAAATGTCTATTTTATGTACATAGCAACTGTTATTCTAATCATCTGTAGAAATTGTGAAATGTAAAGTAATTTGTATTGATTTGTATTTCAAACACTTAATCTTTGTTGTAATCACTTCATTTATTAAGGTTTACTTAATTCTTGATTCATATTACATTTACTTTGGAATTTTATGATGGCTTCTAATTTGTATTCTATTTTGTAAACCACTTTTTATATATGTTTTATTTGGATGAATTATTCAGTTTAATGTTTGACACTTTTTTATGTACTAGTATATTGGCTAGGGTATTTTTTTTTATAGCATCTTATACTTTATATTTACGTTTACTGATTCAGACTTCTAATTTTTTATTCTATTTTAATTTTTATTTTAATCAACACTGATGGGCTTTTCATATGCTTTGTGTTTGACTAAAATGCTTTTTGTTGATCATCATCATTATCAAACTCCATTCGAGTTGAGGGGCCTGAGAGGCTCAAATGCTCTCTAGCAAAAGCCCTGGACAGAAACCCTGCTGTTTTGTGTACGCATTTTTTGGTGGATAATATAGTTCTCAATTATTTAGGTAATTTTCTTATACTTTTAATGTTAGAATCTGCAAACATGACACTGACATCTAATCATAGTCATGCTAGACACGACATACAAAGCCATTTTAAATAGCCCACTGCATTTTGATTAATAATTTCCTTAAGAATTATCTTGGTGAATGAAAACAAACTTTTGCTTATTTTGATTATTTGTCTTGTTACTAGTAAAACTGTTGCAAAAGAATGTGAATGACATCCCAAAGTCAATATTTCAATATAGTCTACAAACAAGAACAATAATTAACAGCCGTCATGCAACCACTAGACATGAAGTATCTCTATTATATTTCATTAGTAGGCCCCAATACCACACTTATAAAAGACTTATGTAGTGCAGTTTTAAAGATGACATCACTGTTGAAAGGTGATCTAAAATTTCTGTAATTAACAATTTTTGGACTATCCATGCGCGAGAACAGCATTGATATACAGATTTAATCCTTATAACTTAAGAAAGGCTGAAAAATAGGAACTTCCCAAGCACTGCTTGTTAGGGTTGTGTTAAAGCCTTAGTTCTTTTGCCCGGGCCCCTGACATTCAACAGGCACCTTGGTGCTCACAAAAACTCACTGTTAATAATGTAATTTTTTTATGATAGGAATACAAGTTATGATGACATATTGATGGAGTAATGACATTGAATTTGAAACATTCTAATATTGTGGATATATGAATTAAACAATAATTCTACACCTTGATGTTCCACAACGTACACATTGATGTTAGGATGGCTGCCTGGTCGTGCGGTTTGCGTGCTGGACTGTCGTTCGGATTTATCGACGGTCGAGGGTTCAAACCCTGCCCGCTCCCATCCCCCGTCGTCCTGCGGGAGGTTTGGACTAGGAAGTAAACTATCTTCAACTCTGAAGGAACATCCGAATTATGTAAAACATTTTACAAACAAACATGTTCACAACACAACGCACTGCTGGCTCTAGTCTCCAGTGTAGACTTCCAATCCCATACTAACTCCCTGTAAAGACAAAAGTACAGACAAACTAAAAAGGTCTAGTATACTATGGCATCAAAAACAACTGCGAAATGCAGTCATGCCTTAGATACTCACCCTAAACAGGGGAACACAGAAGAATCTCAATAAACGTTACACCAGCAAAACAAAACCACTCCATAAACTTACAAGCAAGGCAACAAAGAAAGTGCGTTCAAAAATTGTGCACTTAATAAACATTGCTGCTATACCATAACCTACGCAACGACACTGCTCTAATTTTAAAAAAGTACTAAGAAAATGTCGTGTCTTATCTTATTTATTACAGACGTTACTTGAAAAAAGAAAATTACAACCTGCCCATCTCATGTGTCTATCTATAGTTATGCATGTTAATCAACGACTTAAGTCTTAGTTTTCCTGGCTAATTTAGGCAACCCATCCTATTCTCTAATGGCATTAAGGAAGGAGCATTTGTAGGAATTTGATCTAGCGTTTCAGCTTTTGATGCTTTGCATTTTGTTTGTTTTACAAGTTTCGGAGTAAGTATTAGCTTAAGAAATAAAGATTTTTATGCCCTGTAATATAGGCGATTAGCTTGAGAAACAAGTTTATTAGGCCCTATAATAGATTAGCTTAAGAAATAAAGATTAATAGGCCCTATAATGAAGACCGTCGAAACTTTCTTCATGACGTAAAGGAGATGATTGTGGTATTTGGGAGAGTTCGAACTGAATAAGGCAATCGCTCGATCGATATACATATATATAGGCCTATATCTGCCTACAGCTCAACTACTAGGCTTCAGTGTTAAAGACCTTTATTAGGTGGCTTTCCTTTGTAATAATAGTAGACTCTACAAAGGACATTAAAACAATATCTATATAGGCCTTTTGATAACCGTGTAAACTGAAACTGAAAAAGAAAACGGAATTCGGGAATACCCAATGATGATCTGGAATTATAAATAGTATAAAGACATGATTATTCCAAAAGGTCTGCCCTTAACGACCAGTTCCAATTTTCCTGGAATAAATAGGACACATTATTCTGAATAAATTTGGTGCTGATTGAAGTTTAGCAATAACAAAGTCTATCATAGTGTAAGTCTTCATATCTGCTAAGGTAAGGAAAAAGATTTTTAATTAACTCGCTTTCTATAGTTCAATCTAGATCTCATGTAATCAAACTATATATATAGGAGGCTATAATAAGTAGATAGTCTAGTAAAGTCTATAATATATGGCTGATGATTTATATTGAAATCAAGATCTCATAGATTGAGATCAGTGTTTCTCAAACTTTTACCAGTGGTGAACCTTAGGCTAAATGAGAAAAATACTATCGGTTTTTATCCCCCCACCCTTTTTTTTTTAGCGCCCTGCGCATTTCACTCTCCCAAATACCACAATCATCTCCTTTACGTCATGAAGAAAGTTTCGACGGCCTTCATTATAGGGGCTAATAATCTTTATTTCTTAAGCTAATCTATTATTGCTGGTCGGCATGGGCCTTTGATGGCACTCCCATTTTTTTGTTGCTCCTTCCCTCCCCCGTCTTTTAATGGTTCCAATGAAATTTAACCAAAAAGAGGGATGAGAGAGGTTAAGTTAGAAAACATTGATATAACGCGGCCAAAAAAAAAAAAAAAAAAAGGCGCGACAATTAGCTCTTTAATAATACTTAATAGAAAACTAACTTGAACACATACACACAGCCGCGAAATTGCAAACCACCCAACTTATTCACAGCTCAATATGGGTATAAAGCTCTACTTTCTGCGATTTGAAAAGAAAAAGTAAGTTTCTTTTTGTTTATTTTTAATAAGTTTGATCTAAAAATACTACACTTAAGGCTTACAAAAAATTATTTAATCTAGATATAAATAAATTTGTATGCTATTATAATTAATGGCAAACTTATGCTTAGTATGAAGTCATTAATGATGAAAATTATTACAATAATTTATAGATCTATAGCGCTGTCACATCCGATATTTAATGCAAGGAGATTAATATTTTAAACTAGTCGACCGGTGGCGTAGCATACGCCGCTATTTTGCAGGGCCGGTCTTAGGCCACTGCAACCTATGCGACCGAAGGATCCGCACTTTCATGGGACCCGCGCTAATTCAAGGTGTATAAATTATTAAATGTAACCATTTTATAACTTAAAACAGATTTCCCGCGCCTTCCTGTCGATTAACCAGGAGCTCCTGGAAATCTCCCGAAATTGCAAAATATACGAAAAAGTCCTTAAAAAACTGTTGAGCGAAGAAGAGAATTATATATATATAATGATAGATACCCAAACTTGGCCCCGCGAAATCCGTTTTGAATAGAGCCTCACAATGCTTAAGTCCAGCCCTGCTATTTAGTGTTTGTAATATGTTTTACATGTTTCGGATGTTCCTTCAGAGTTGACGACAGTTTACTTCCTAGTCCAGACCTCCCGCAAGACGAAGGGGGGATGGGAGCGGACAGGGTTTGACAGTCCAGCGCGCAGCCATCCGTAGCGAGCTGTGAAAACGTGTTCTCCCCCCCCCCCCCCTTTTTTTTTCATGGGGTGACTATCCGCAGAAATAAGAGAGTGATCTTTCCTTTACTTCTTCTTCTCATTTAAACTGTTGAGGGAAGAAGAGAATTATATGTATATAGATAATTGGTCATAATATATTCATATACAAATCGCATTTTTGAGAATGTACTAGGAGGAAGCAAGAGCTTTTCACATCAAGTAAGTGCCTCTCTAACCGTTCTGCTTTCTCTTATCTTTTAATGGAATGGGTTGCATGAGTCAGCCAGGAAAACCAATGATTAAGCATATTTTAAGTCACAGATCAACATGCATGACTAGACTGTCACATGTAATGCTTAAGACGTAACAATCTTATTTTTAGAAGAAAAGTCAGTAATCTATAAGTAATACCAAAAAGCTTCAAACTCCTTAGGCTGCTATTGTATTGTTTATAGTTTTCAGACTACATACATGTATAAATAGAATACATTATGTAATCATACGAATGCATACATCCAGTTTTCGATGCGTTATCAAACTATATATATTTTGTAGAGAATTAGGCTTACACCTATAATATAACACATTGGCGTAGTCTGGAGGGGAGGGTC